GCCCTGTGTTTGTGGGAAGCCTGAGGCTGGCAGTTCCATGGTCCTGTTTGATGTCAGGAGCAGTGGAGCAGCTGCACACTGAGGGGGGGGTGGGATGCTTTGACCTTTGTCTGTGTTCTAGGGTTCAAGGATATTTCATGTAGGACATACCTTGACATTTAGGGCACTTGTCTCAATAGCATGTTTTAAATTGAAGTTGTCTGAAGTCCTTACCACCAGCTGCTCTTGCAGTAATAAGTAGTGCACCTTTCTTACTGCCCTAATGTGCACAATGTAGTGACTGCTTTTTCGTCTTTTGTTTTCTTAGTTATGTTCTCTGTATTTTATATGTTTGTGTTATGTGTTATGTGTAACGTTGCTGCCTTCTTGGCCAGGTCAGCATTAAAAATGAGATTTTAACTCAATGCTTTTATCTGGTTAAATAAAAAAATAAAATAAATGTAACTGTACGGTGGATTTTTATCATTCACAGGACATCATGGAAATATAGTTTAAGCACTGGTTTTTAAGTTTGCCTAATATGGAGCACCCCAGTGGCTTTATGGTCTAAAGCAGAGGTAGCCAACACGGTGCCCGCGGGCACTTAGTCCAAAATGCTCTATCTACTTACTACAACTCTATATCTATCTAACACCCCTCCTCCCCCCACCCCCAGAATGAAAATCGACCAATCACGTTCTTGCTTGATTTGCGGGACCAGCGTTGCAGTCGGGAAGAAAAGCAATGTGGAGCGGCAGCTCCCCGCTTCAGAAGGAGTGTGACCGTGATGTTCCTTCTGGCAGAATCTACACAACACATCAGCCCCATTGAACAGCCTAGTTGTGCCAGCCTATACAGCACATGAGGGGCAGAGTTTTACTCTGTGTGTGTTGCAACTTTCGAAATCCCGTTTGTGTCCCCCCACTTTACAAATATGTTTATTTTATTTTTTAACGCAAGCCGTCATCGCCACGGAGGAGCACACAGCCTCTGTGAGCGAGCGAGACAGAGAGAGAGAGAGAGAGAAAGCTAGGGAGAGACAGAGAGAGAAAGAGAGAGAGAGAGAGCTAGGGAGAGACAGAGAGAGAGAGAGAGCTAGGGAGAGACAGAGAGAGAAAGAGAGAGAGAGAGCTAGGGAGAGACAGAGAGAGAGAGAGAGCTAGAGAGAGAGAGAGAGAGAGAGAGAGAGAGAGAGAG